TACACCTGAAGCCTCTACACGATGCATCACACGGGTCACCACCGTGGACGATGCCCCACCAGGGAAACAGAATTCCAGCACAAATCCAGGAGAACGATTCATCTGTGGGATCTGTGTGGAGATGTCTTACTGTGACAACTCCACTGTGTCCTCAGATGGGAGACGAGTGGTTGGAGCGCGTGCTCTCGGACGTGTGGCGAGGGCGTGCAGTATCGTATCGTGCGTTGCTGGAAGATGCTGTCTCCCGGGTTCGACTCCTCTGTCTACGATTCGCTCTGTCTGTCACATGATCTCCACAAACCAGCCAATAGGAAGGTGTGCCACGGACAGAGCTGTGGACCCCAGTGGGAGGTGTCGGGGTGGTCGGAGGTTTGTGCTACAGCAGCGTCTAACTTTCTCTTTTAATGTCGCTTCACTGCGTCTTAATGTTCTCACGTTGTTACCAAGCAACAAGAAACTTGATTCACCTCTTTGAGATTTTGTCTCCCGTCAGGAGGACACGTGAATATTGTCATGCTTCATCACACCAGCTTCATCATTTCTCCCTCCGTGTGTCAGTGCTCAGCACGCTGTGGCTCTCGCGGCATCCGCACTCGAGAGGTTCGTTGCTCTGTGGAAAGGAAACTGTGTAACGAGACCTCTCGGCCAATAGAGAGCCAGGAATGTGACGGCCCACCCTGTGACAGACGATGGAGCGTTTCTGATTGGGGACCCGTGAGTTCAGCCCTTTACTGTACCCACACACTACTGTCCATCACTGTTTCAGCCTCAAACTGTAAATCTTTGATGACCTGACAGTTTGTCTGTGAGAGGTGTCACCAGACACGTCACCATGATAACAAACCAGTCACTCTTTATCTTTGGATTTCGTTTTTAAAGTTTTCCAGGCTCTATGAACGTCTTTGGACACTCGCTGAATGTTTTTGTTGCTCAGCCACTAAACACTAAACAGCTGTGGGCTGTGTGCAGACAGCAAACTGCACATTAAGATTATTCATTATTAGCACAAAAACACAGTTTGCAATGTTTTTTATTATTCTACGAAAAATGCCGAAGAGTTTAACAGGTTAAAATGGGTTTTATATAGAGAAGAACTACACAGAGCATTTGAAGCCTTCAGCCTCTCCTGAAATGGTCCCAGTGGAACGGCGGCTGTCAGTTACTGGGCTGAAAACCAGTGGATGCAGGCCTTGCAGTGGGATAAACAGCAGATTTATGACTCGATTTTGCAGTTTTGTAGTTTTCAGAGGTTACGAGCAGCTTTCGTCCAGCGTGTATTTTGCATGAAAATGTCTCTGCATCGTGTCAGTGCTCAGGAGAGTGCGGCGAGGGCAGGATGGTGCGTTCTGTGACCTGCCGTTCGTCAGGCGGACTTGTGATGTCAGACGGGCAGTGTGACCAGCCGTTACGCCCGTTGGCCATCTATCCCTGCGGTGACAGAGACTG